ATTCTTTTTTACGCTATATGGTACTATACGCGTACATGTACGATTGTTGCTTTGTTGGACAAATTAAAAAAAGTAGTTAAAGTTACAATGCAGACTAGAAATTTCGTCGACTAGATTACGTCGAAGAGATTTTCTCAACAATTTTCTAATAACGCAAATAAAAAATGATAGAACTTGAATATTATTGAAACAGCAATGAGAAGAAAAATGACGTGTTGTAAATAATTCTCTGCAATAGATAAGCATGGTCGATCGCAGTATATCTTATTTGCGTTGAAATCGCTGAAACATGATACAAAATAAATTCGGAATGAGGATTAAATATTTTAAAATATCAGCATTTATCGAATAGGATTTCACACAAGGATTTCACACAATATGGATTTTCTATTTGAATAAGAATTTTTAATTTTATTTATTTTTAATCTGTTACTAAATCGTTTATTTTAATTTTTTGAAATATCTATTTCTGCTCTCCACTTTTATTTTGATTGTACTAATCACATCTGGATTTTGTTCAATTGTAGATGACAAGTTCGTCCGTTCACTGAGTGAAACTTTGACAAAGGTGCAGTATCATCCAATGGCTTGGTTGTTGATACCCGTAGTGAGTGAAGTTCTCAACACCATCCTGCGATATGCCGAAAGCTCGGTCGATGAAGACATACATATTTTTAGGAGCTGTATAGATCAGAGTAAGTATTTTAACCTTTTAATATCTCTGTTAAGATAAATCCATAAAGAAAGTAAATAAAAGCAAATACACTAAATATAGTAAGATTCGTGCAAAAAAATATGCTATATTATGAAAATTGACAAAAACATATGAATAGAAAGATAAAAAGTAATATCTTTTTTTTGGATTTTAGAAAAATATGAACAGTATAAAATATAAATTTATTATCTAACTTTTTCATTTAATTTTACTCGATTTTTTTGTACGCTTATATAATTAAAATAATTATTACGTAATCATGTATATTGTGAACCCCTTATTTGCCAAGTGGTGTAAGTCCAATTTCTCAATTGTTGGAAAATGATTATTTTGCGGTTTGGGCTTATAGAAAAATCAAGATAAATGAGAATAACTTTGTTTTACTTTTATTTTATCAAAAAATAACTAAATTTTTGTTTTAAAAAATTCCAATTTTTAATTTTTTTAAAATTGTTTTTCTGCAATGTTTCTCCTTTATATAACTCTTAAATCTTGCGTTAATTTTGAAAAAATAATTCTTATTTATTTCAAACAAATTTAGATAAGAATAAATAAAAATTTTAGAAGGAAAAAAAAACAAACAAATCACTTTTTTAGCGCAGGACTTACACCACTATTTCTCTAACTGCCAATCTGTTATCTTTAACATCCAACTTTGTACTGCTCTCAGCGACTTATTTATGAAGTTAGATTTACAACACTTGTTCATTAAATACAAACAACCCTTCAGAACATATTTCTGGTGTTAGTTAAAAATCTCAAATTTTGGATTTACACCATTTGGCAAATAAGGTGCTCATGTGTTATTATAGAAGTATTCACTTGAATTTTTCTTTTTTCTGTAGCTTCAATAATTCATCCTCTGAAAATTATTCGTCTGGCTATTGCACGATATTTGATTTTATTATTCATATATATATATTTAACATATTATCTTCAAGTTTTATTTATGCATTATCTATTTCCACCTTGAATGATAAATAATCGTTAAAATTTTAAGAATTATCATTGTTTTGATTTTCGTAGTTCTTGACTGAACTCGATTGCTCGATTCTTGAAAATGCTATACATTCAGTAACCAAAAGGTTTTATTCTCTTCAATGCGGATTGAATAGTAACAATAGCAGATTTTTGATCAGATTTTTATTGAAATGTAGTTATGTATTGCATAAAACAAATTTATGCATCCAAACAAATTTCTACATACAACTGGACAATATACGACAATACTTGAAGATTCTTGGGATCTGTGGAGTATATGAGTGGAGTGGGATACCAGAGGTATAATAAATTATATCGAAGTTGGCATAAAATGTATTTATTTTTAGAATTTTGTTATTATATTTAAAAGATCGCGCAATCAGTCGGTTTTATTCTTCGCATTTTACATCATAAATTGACAATCTTTTTTATGGCAATTTATTTAAAAAAAAACATTACATTATTTTTATATTATTATGATATAAAATTATTACCTTTTCTCTATATCATTATTATAGCGACAGTATCATTATTATTATTATAATTATAATTTTAATGTGAAAAAATGATCGATTGCATTTTGGATCGCGAAATACTGAACCTATGCGAAGCGTTATGATAAATTTAATCCGGCGTTTCTAAAACAACTTACGACTAACTTTAACTATGAATCATACGTGATTATTTTCTCCTCTCAAGAGCCTTGCTAACGGATGCCAACTTCAATATAATGAAAACTCTGTTTCCGCGTGTGTCGCGAGAATCGCGGAAGAAATTAATCTTGAGATTTATCTGCAATTGTGTTCTGACATGATACATCATCATTCATTGATGATTTGTTGCCTCGATAAACATCTCGATTGTAAGATCATTAAGTATTCTTGTTACAACACACGAAGAAGCAACCTTGGAAAAGATACTGGTAAGCGAAGTCAATGAAAAGACTAAGTGTTCTCGTCTCGGAAGAAAATATTCCACTCCCATCACGGAAGAGGTCTGAAGATCACGTACAAATATTACTTGAGAATCTGCTTGGCATCGCGGTACTGCGCTTCAAGTATGCCACATGTTCTATGCACGCGTGATATTTATAATTTTGCTACAATTTTGCAGAGAGTGGTATCTTACAGAAAGTAAGGATTACTTATTCGTATTTATTCGAAATTACAAAGTGTGAATCGATAATGCGCAATGATCATCTACATCTGAAAATCACTCTTTTCCGCACCGAAAATGGTGTTTGCAATAATAATATTGCTTGCAAATACTCGTATACATATAAGGATATTTTGTATATCATAATTATACAAAATAAGGGAAGACTATATATAGATCAATAATAAATAAATGAATCACACACACACAGTCCAACAATTATATAACTTTCCATGCAACTGATCGAGGATCACAAACATAATTATATTGACATTTGGTTATAAATATTAGAGTTATAAATATTCAGTTTAAACGATTTTTGCAGTTGCGACAAATGCATTTGTGCGCGGCTAAATTAGAACAGTCTCGCTTACCAACGTACAAAGTAGCGTGTCACCATTGCCACTACAGCTTAAAATACTCTGCGATAAATACGCAAGACGTCGCGCCAAACGTTGCCGAATATTTCTGTAATTATAATGTAACTGTTAATATACATTTATCTTAACTTTCCGACGACTACTAAATTCCGTTGTTGGATAATAGCCAGCTTAATTCGAAAATTTGTACTGGTTTTCGGTCCATTCAAGGTCAACATTTAGGCTCATTTACGCATCGTAGAAGAATGTAATATGTAAGTTTATGTGAATTTTTATACATATGGATATATCGAAAGAACATTTAAGGAGAAATGATCAACGTTTATAAATGCACTTTAACATCCTACGAATTTTCAAGCTCGCAAGAAAAATAAACGCTGCAAATAGTTAATATATAAAAAAACGCGATGAAGATCTGGTTGTCTTATTGCGAAGCGAGTGAGAAGGTCCCTGGACACTGAAGAAAAGGTACGATGTTTTTACTAACCGTTACCATGGATAATCTCGATGATCAGGCAAAATCTTTCTTCCTTTGTCATAAATCGCCTCGGTTCCGGATCACTGACGCCATTCGCCCAGAGCCGTTGCGAAGTATTTTATTTGACGATCGTGATTGTTTGTGGTGTTGCTAAATTTATAATGCCACAATCCGCACCGTGCCGCACACGGCAATAAAGCTGTTGACAATAAGTATCGCGGTAGATATTACAATCAAGCACGTGACGTACATATCTAATGAGCCTCATGACGCAGTATAAATGCGAAATTCTCGTATAAATGCCACTTCGTACGATATTTTTTCGCGTGAGGTTTGAAGTCAATTTTAATCATATCTGTGCAATACTTAGTTTTAGTTGGGTATAAACCTACTTCGATAATAAAATTCTGAAAACTAAATATTGAAAGACTAAATATGAAAAACTAAATATGTTTTATAACACCAAACGCTTTAAAACTACCGGCCACACTTCAATCACGGATTTTTTTACCGGAAATTTTGGATTCAACTTTTTCATAAGAAATATTTAAAATTATCGCTTTAGCATATTTCGACAACTGAAATTTTTACCACCAATATATTGATTAAAGCGTATTATGTAAATACTAAATGATAGTGAAAATGTTAAATATGAAATTAAGAATTTTTCTTAAAATTAACTTTACTTACAAAAAAAAATTTTAACCGTATAGACACGTTTGTATTTTGTGAACTTTTTTGAGCTCAATTTACGGATGACGAGGATGGTCGAGAAAAGTATAATTGATTAAATGTATTATTCATAGTTTGATCTCATTGTTTGGTCTCCATTGTTTGCTCTCTACCTTATCATTATAGATCGCTTAAATCGTTTATAGTTAGTTTGTGAATGCGTTTAA